TGCCCGCCCCCTCCCCGCGCCGCAGAGCCGCCGCCCGCCTTCTCACGCGCGCGCGGCCACAGCCTGCACAAGGCGCCCGCCCTCGTCTGCGAGTTCGCCGCGCCCGCCCACCAGCAGCGGCCCTCGCTCATTGCGCGGCTCACGCACGGCAGCGCGGGCGGCACGCCGCCGGCGGAGGTCGCGGCGTCGATGGCGGCGTCGATGGCGGCGACGGCCGCTTATGTCACCAACCTCTTGGCGGAGGCAGGTGTGTGAGTGTGTGTGTGTGTGTGTGTGTGTGCGCGCGCGCGCGCGCAGGCGTGCTGGCCGTGCTTGGGCGTATTTTATTGTGCGCGCTTGAATGCGTTTGGGAGTATTTCTGTGTGCGCGCTCACGTGTGTGTGCACGCTTGTGTGTGTGTGTGGGGGGGTGCCGGTGTGGGTGTGTATTCTACCAAGCTGTGCGCCTGGCATGATTCCTTGCCTAACCTGAAGGAGGCGCTTCGGCAGCATTGCTGCCTGGGTGGCTGCATGGTTCCTGTGGATTGTGCCTGTGCCCGGGGCCGCACATTCAGCACACCCGGCGCAAGCTCAACGGCTCAACCCTGCCGGACACACAGAGGCCGCCGTCGGCGCGCACCCCGCCGCGGCCGCCGAGGCCGCCGCGGCCGCTGAGCCGCCGCAGCCCACGCCCGGAAGCGCCAAGGCGATCGCCGCCGCCGCGGCTGCGGCGCGGGCTTCGCTGGCGATCGCGGTGGGTGACCACGGGGCCGCGGGAGGCGCGCAGCATAGTGAGGGCGGCACGGCGGGGGATGACCCCGCCACGCCCACCCAGGCAGAGCCGAGGTGAGGGCTTTTGCTGAACGGTGAATTTTGTGAATTTGGGGGAGCTTGTGGGAGCTGGTGCTTGGTTTTTGACACCCTTGAAAAACATGGGCGGTTTAGGGCCAGCTGCCGTCAAAGCGTTTCAATCTCGAGCGGCGAGGTGTGATAGACCGCCCCTCGCTTGCCCCGCCTGCCTCCAACCTGCGCCAACCGCTGCCGCCCACATCACTCACCCATCCCTCCTCCAATCTTGTGCAAAACCCCTAGGTATGTCAGCGGAGAGGGCCACGCGCAGCCGCATGGCCCAGGCTCCCACGACGGCCTCACGCACCCCGCGGCGTCGCGGCCGGTGATAGACGCCCTGCAGGTGCGGTTGCTGCGCGCTGGGGTGTGTTTCGAGCGAACCAACGTGCGTCTTGCTCACCTCGTCTGTGGGCTACGCTCGCGGCGTGCTCGGGCTTCAGCCCCGCTCGTGCGTTGAGTGGGTGGCAAGAATCGGGCAGTCCCGGGCCGCGGCTCCCTGTCAACAACAGGGGGTGCGATGCACCACTGGATAGGCATCTCACAAACGAACACGTATATGGTCACACACATGCACTGATATACACGCACAAAAAGACTCACATCTCAATATACACACACACACACACACACACACACACACGTCCACACACTCACACACACGTCCACACACTCACACACACGAACGCGCACTCTTACATGTAAATGTACACCCATGTACACACACACACACACACACAGACGCATGCGCGCGCACACACACACACGCACACACAAATACACACACACGTGCAACCAGGTCATGCCTGACGAGCAGCGCCGCATCGAGGCGATGGCGACGCACGTGGACGCGGCCAAGCGGCGCCAGCAGACCATCAAGCACCTGCAGGACCTGGAGGTCACCTCCTCGCGCGCCGCGCCTTCGCCCGCGGCATCGGCAGCGGCAGCGTCCGCGCCGCCGGCCGATCACCCCGCGGCGCCCGCGCCGCCGCGGCCGGCGGCGCCCCCGGCGCTGCAGGTCCCCCCCAGCCCACAGCAGCCGCACGCGGGCGAGGCCGCCGCGGCCTCGCCCCACCACTCGCCGGCGGGCCGTTTGGCGCCGAGCGCGGCGCATGCAGCGGCGCCGGCGTCGCCCAAGACGGCCGCGGCCGCGGCCTCCCCCAAGGGCACGGCGTCGACGGGCGGCCGCAACCCCCACACCAAGCGCGCCTACAAGGTGCTGAGCGTCCACGCACTCCTGCACCCCGCGATGCGGCGCGAGTTCTGGAGCAGCGACCAGTTCGAGGTTACAAAGCGGCTGCACAAGGGCTATGCGTCCGAGGTTTACAGGGTGAGCGGCGGGCTGGGGGTCGGGCCAGCAGGCGTCCTCACACTGCGCGGGGCCCGCCACTGGCTGCTGCTGCTGCTGCTTTCCGAAATCTTCACCTCAAATTGCACAAAGCTCAGCCCGGCCAGGATTGACTGCGCTGCATCCGCCTGATATGGCATGCCGTCTTGACGACACTGCAGCCCGGATCGCCTGAGTACAAAGCGCCCATGCATGCCCACGCCCTCCTTTCGCCTCCGCAGGCCACCGACAAGCAGTCTGGCGAGGCGTGCGCTGTCAAGGTGTATGACGTCACCCAGGTGGGTGACATCACTCCAGGGCGCAGGGTGCATGGAGACGAGAGGCTTGGGAGGAGGGGTTGCTAATACGTAGGGCGCTGCTAGTGGCAGCGCCTACTGGCTCGTTGTGGTGGCATACATCCTCGACACCCTGCACTGCGCATTGGACCAACGTGGGTATTCCACACAGCATAAGTGCTCTTGTGGGCAAGCCTGAATCCCTTCTCATACCCCACTCCCCGCACACATGTCTGTGTGTGCGTTAAGCCACATCCTGTCGCAATTGGTTCCACACGCAAACATCTGCAATCGCATTCACAGCTGGGCAAGCTGAACAAGGTGCAGCTGATCCGTGAGATCAAGCTTCACGGCAGCTTCGCCCACCGCAACATCGTGGAGCTGTGGTGCAGCTTCCAGGTGAGTGATTCAACGGCCAGCCGCGGCCGCAGTTTGTCGGACAAATTTGCCAAGCCGCTTAACCAGGATGGCGGCTGGATTGTGCTGCGCCAAATGCACAAGCTCCCAGAATTGATTGTTGACTTCCCAGTGCCATTCTGGCGCATGCAACGTGCCTGGGACACACCCTGCACGGGCCTGCCGATTACGCCAGGCTTTGGCATGTGCCTGCACGCCAAGTATATTGCAGGGCTCATGGCATACATGGGCTTGCAACACACGCACCACGCGCGCGCACACACACACACACACACGCACACGCACAAGCACACACACACACACACACACGCACATACGCACACGCACAAGCACACACACACACACACGCACGCACACACACACACACATATACACACACACACAGCAAGACACACATTCTATGCAACACGATGCAGACTGCCTCCACGGCCCTCAACAGCCCTCCCCCCCTGCCTCCACAAACGACGAAATCCCCCCAATTTTCCCCATCCTCCAAACCCCTCCCCCAGGAGGGCAACCAGGTGGCGCTGGTCCAGAAGTTCTGCGAGCAGGGGGACCTCCTCAAGCTGCTGCACAAGTGCGGCGGACGCATGAACGAGCGCGCCTCGGTGCAGGTGGGCAGGCCCTCCGTGGGTGATGACAAGACTTTGGGGGCGGGGTGAGGACGCCACGCCTCCCGCTGCTGGGCTGGTGCAAGGGGTTGGCACTTGTTGCACCCTTGCAGAGGTGCCAGCCACGTAGGGAAAGCAAGATAAAAAATTCAAGCAATCAAGCGCGCAGGAGGGGCTCCGGGGCATCGTCTCACTGGCCTCAAGAGCTTCAAAGCACCAAACAGGCCATGAGCCTGGATGGGTACAGAAGCAGGCGACCGCGGGACGCTGTGATGATTCTCGTCCTAGTCCTCATCCCCCAGCCCCAAAATTGTGTGCGGCCGCGGCATGCAGGTGGTGATCCACCCGCTGCTGACTGTGCTGCTGTACCTCCACGCTAGGGGGGTGACCCACAGGTGCATGGGGCGGCGCTGGGCTCTGGCGGCTGTCGAGGGCGGGGTGCAGTGGACGGGCTCAAGGCTGCGAGTGATACTTGCAGCATGGATGCATGCGCGGCGCGTTCACCTTGCACCACGGAGCTCCTCCCGTTTTGCAATCTGCATCCGATGCTCCTGATCAGGACTGGGGCGGTTGCACTTGGAAGCACTTCGTCTCCTCTGACTGTCTCCAACCACTGAAAACCCTCGACCCTGTTTTTGCCCAATCGCGCATCCCGCCGCGATTGCGTGTTTGCTAACCCCCCAGGGACATCAAACCGGAGAACATCCTGTTTGACGACGACGGCGTCCTCAAGCTGGCGGACTTTGGGCTTGCCATCAACATGAACGAAGAGGCTGCCGTGACGCGCGCGGGTGGGGGAGCGGGGGTGGTGGAGCGGGTGTTGGGG